GGACCACCTTTGGTCAGAAGAACACTCTGGACCACACAGATTAATGACCAAGAACTAAAAATCATATTAGTCCTCATTTGGATGACAATGATGACAATCCCCACATAAAGAACAGCATTGTCCCTGGCGAAGGGAGTAGCTACTATGCAGAAAAAATAAAGGTGTGCACGGCAGAGACACATTGTTAAAAGACTTTTAAAAATTAGTCTATTACAAGTTACTATAAATGATGGCTATAAAAGTTATCCATTTTCAGTAAAAATAAAATCCATTAGTAGACTGCCACCTGGGGAAAACAAAACACACAAAAAATGCTATGATTATTAGCCGAGCTAAAGCTTTGCATGTAAGTTAATTGGTGCTTATTAATATTAAAGCAGAAAAGATAAGCACATTCATCTCTGAACAGCAAAGAACATCTGATAAACAGCAGACTATTTCTAAATTAGACTGGTGACTTTCATTTGTATTTGCGTATAATAAACAGTAAGATGCGACTTTTCTTATTTTTGTTTAACATTGCATTGGAAACAATAATCATCTTAGGGAAAACAAGTGTATTTTATTTCAGTCTTAAAACATAAAGCATTTTCTCACACTCAAAACATGCCTTTCATTTTCTGTATCTTGCCCTAAACTGAAATTACTTTTAGGTTTCTGGTTTCTCCACTCTCTAACTGCAATAGTCTGGAGCCAATTATTTAAATGTAGTGTGCCTCAGTTTCCTAATATGAAAAATAGATCTAATAATCCCATCTCGTAGGAGTAAAATTTTTGAATGAGGTGATATAAAGGAAACATTCTGAGCTAGGATAATTAAAGTGTTTCTCTTACATGTGCAATTCGGTCTCCTGACCTTTCTGACAGTAGCATACATAGTGAGAATGGAGACATTCTCAATCATAAATAAGACATACAAAACTAAAAAGTGCGATAAAAATTAGAACTTAATTTAGAAAAAAATAGATTGAGTTGAAATGCTAAAGATAAGAGTGATGTCAACTTCCATCTCAATAAATATGTATGACTAACCAGCGTTAATAAAAAATGCCTCACCTCAGAGAGAAAAACATTCACATTTGTATAACTACAATAGTGCTGCTTGCGTTTTTCTGTCATTAGCTTTAACATGGAAAATGCACATGGTTATCAAAACCACAAATAGGTATGAAAATAAAAGAGTTTTAAACCAAAGTGTCCAATCATAAGAGAAACCTTTATTTGATTTTCTTCTTGTGTGTGTTTCTTTTCAGTGTCTTGCTCTCGGTGAAATTCTCTCAAACACTGCTTAGAGGCAGGCTGGCTCTGCAGCAGGTTCCATGATGTGAGAGGACTGTAACTCAATTTTCTGATTTAATAGTGCAAGACTATTCAGGCATGAAATTACCTCCTTCATGTAGAGCAATCCCCTTTGCCTGGCAAGTCAAGGCTCAAAAACTTGATGTCTGCTGTGATTACAGCTGTTGACCCAACCAATTGTTGCCGGAATCAGAGTTAAGCTTTTCTGTATACTCTGCTGAAGAAAATATGCCTCTTCAGATAGTCAAAAGGTGAAAATAGATATAGAGCGTTTACTAGAATCTGAGCACTCTGTGATTAACATTCTGGGTTAAAAAGAACCAGATCGGATTATAGCACAGATGGAAGATGTTCTACTTTTTTAAATTGAGGACAAAATGCTTTCATTCGATATAAATGAGGTTCTTTTAATAAAAAAAAAATTCTACCAGGTTTAAAAATTATACAGGAGGTAAAGTCTAGCTCAGCTTTCTCTCTGACCATCTGCTACACAGGAAACAATCAATTTGTTTTTTCCTCATTAACTTAATCAAACACCCTAAGTGCTGGGGGTGTGTGTGTGTGTGTGTGTGTGTGTGCGTGCGCGCGCGTTTATGGTCATTGAGGCCTCTCAAGTCTGAAAATGGTAATACTCTACCAAGCTGTTCAGTAGTAATCTAATTTGGACCACAAATATGAACCAAATATATACATTTTTTTCCTAAGGAGTCACTTTTAAGAGTAAAAAGAAACAGGTGAAACTAATTTCAATAGCATATATTTTAATACATCAAACATGATCATTTCAACACAATAAAAACATGTTTGATGACATATTTTATATTTTTTCATACTAAGTCTTTGAAATCTGGGATACTGTTTACACTTAACTGCACATCTCAATGTGCACTGGCCATATTTCAAAGACTCAGTAGTTGTTAAGCTCCTGTTACTGGGCAGTGCAGGTCCATCATCCTTAAAATCCTAAAACAGTCTGGACTCAAGGGTTCTTGGAATACCTGACCAAGTGGCAGACACTGGAGCTGTGCGATGGTTGAGGCGAACGGACAAAGATACTTGCTTTGGTTGGGGCTTTTTCAATAGGATAAGACTATAAAGGATGTTTTCTTGCATAGACAATGGAAACAATAGCAAATATTCTCTCTCTCTCTCACACACACACACACACACACACACACAGCACTTATTTCCCTGCCTCACTGACCTTTCTTGTCTTGAGCAACGGATGGATTCAGAAGTTTAGATGTATTTAGATCTTAAAGGCTAGAGAACTGTTTCAGAAGAAAAGACAGATCTGGGAAGGTGACAGTCGGAAGGAAGAAAAATGTCGTTGTTGAATGAGATTTAGGGAGAGTAACAGGAGAAGTTGAAGTCATGTCTGACTGTAGTAAAAGAGCATTTGGTTATGAGAGAGGAATGTAATTGCCCTGGGTTATCCATTCCAGTGCCTCTGGTAAAGATTTAAATCACATTTCAGTTTGGTGAGATGTTGAATTGATGGTTTTTACAATGTGACATGATATCTAGATGGACTATGAAACCAGCTAGGTTTATTTGGGTTACATTTATATTCATAGGGGTTAAGTAACCAACGACATGGCCTTATTTTTTAAAATATTTAATCTGCCTGTCACCAGTTATACAGTGTACACAACTGTTTATACTCGACAGCAATATGAATTAAAATTGTTTTGCTTTTCTGTCTTTGTGAGTGAACTTGGCACAACACTTTACATTTATCTTTATAAAATCTGATTTTTCGTTATCCTTCTTAGCCAGAAATTAGCTTGATTTTCATAGAGGTTTCTAATAAATAATTTCCACTTATTTATATAGCAAATACATACAAATTTCAGAAATACTTTTTAAAGTTTTTTAAAGGCAAAACTTAGAAGACTAGAAAATTTCTAAGCAAATTCTGAAAGTTTTAAGGTTGTTGTTTTGTGATTTACTTAAGACTTAGGTATAGCCTGAATAAAACACTAAAATATCTTTGTCACAAGGGCTGGTTTCAGTATTTTAGAAACATGTAGCTTAAAAACTGCATTAATAATCCTCATTAACAACAAAAGTTGAAATCTGTCAAGTCCTTTAAATTGGCCCTAAGTTCCATTTCTTGTATGAAAGAGCTATTGACAAACATTAATTAAAATATCACACATTCATAAAAATATGTTGATAAAATATTATTATTGTGTGCATGCATGTGTTTTCCTTCAGATCACGACAAGAAATCAAATATCTCTGGCTATTTCTGAACAATGATGGCAAATAATTTTATTTGAAAATACCTGTAAAGAATTTATAATTGCCCACAAAATCAGATGAGCATAAATATATGTATATAACTATACAATTCACCCCATCTTCTCTCCTACAAACTTCGATGGTACTGATGTCTCTAGCTGCTTTATTTTCATTATTAGGAAATAGAACACAAGGACTCAGACTGGGAGGCATCCAAATTTGTTTCTTTCAGTGGCATCTTGAGAATGAGGGCACCTATCTTTCTGGAAGACTTGCTGGCCTTCCTCAGAGCTGACCAGTCTGCTATAGGCAATTAGTTCCTGAAGAGCCATGACCATGACTAAGGACCACTTAAATGTTAGAAGCTTTTCTCCTTCTACAACTTCCCTCTGGGAGCCTGATTTCCTCCAGATGCCTGGTCTGTGATCAATCATTGTCTTTATCTTGACAGAGTCTGACAGAAACACACCATCCTGTCCCAAGAAGTTCCCACTGTAGTGAAGCACTGAATTCCCCTTTGCCACAGAAATAATAACTAATGATAATTTTCCTCATCTAATTTGCCTCCACTAATTTCATGACAGTAAATGTCAGAAGTTTGCTTTGCTTTCTAATATTTATAAGCAATAGATGGCCTCTGGAGCAAGACTTCCTGGGGTTCAGTAACAGCTCCATTTCTTACCAGCCATGCTGCTTTGGGCAAGTTACCTAACCTCTTTGTGCCTCAATTTCCTCATCTGTGAAATGGAATAATAATAGCAGCCTACTTCTTAGGTTAATTGTCAACATTTGATGAGTTGAGAGTCTAACAGTTGTAAACCACACTGAATAGTGCCTGGCACCTGGTAAGAGACCAGTCGGTATCAGTTATTATCACTGCAGGATAATAGTGTCTTTTCTCAGCAGTGATTCTAGACTGCACATCAGAACCACCCAGCAAAATTTTCTTAAATTACAACATTTAAGCCTGAACCTGGACTTACTAAATTAGCATCTTGAGAAGTAACCCCGCATCATGTGTTCTTTTTAAAAAGCATTTTCACGAATGTTTCTGTTATGTAGCCAAGTTTGGGACTGACTGCTTTAAGGAGCCATTATCAGTCTAATGGGTGTCGAGTTGGAGTACCTGCAAATTAATCATATACTAACAACGGCTATGCTGTGTTTTATTGATTCCAAACCACTTATTCAATGTCCTTATTTACCTGGAGATCCCAAATGAAAAGGTGAGACTGACTTTACCTATGCCATACACATGCAGTGAAATAGTGGGATTGAAAAGCACAAGGGACCGAAGTTTGACCATGAAAAGAAAATGCAGACAGAGAGAAATCAAGATTTCTGTTAAACTCCTTAGAATAACAGCCATTTCCTGGGGGACTGACAGTGAACTATCTGGGTCATTTTGAACCAGAGCGTACATCTGAATGTCCCTATATCTCAGTTGTCCCCACGATTTCTATAGCTCCTTCCAGAGCACAGCTGCATTCTACTCAGAATAAACTTTTCCGGCCATTCTGGATATTATTATTAGCTAAGATTTATTAAAGGCAAACATTTGATTTATTTGAAGTCAAGCCTTGTTCTGTGGGCTTTGCATGATTTTATTGTAACAATGCAGTGAACTAGGAACTATTAATATCACCATTTTACCCATAAGGGACCTGTGGTCAAAGAGATTAAGCAACTTGCCCAAAGCCACACAATTCATCAGTGATACGGCTAGGATTTTAAGCATTTTAACCTTAAAGAGTCAACTCCAGAGCCACGTTCTTAACCACCGCTCAGTGCTCCCACTGCCCTCAAATGCACTTCCCCAGTGAGATCCTTCTGAGATAAATACACCCCCCATGCAGACTACGGTTTCTGAGAGACAAAAACAGTCTTCCCTGGGAATTACCTTCTCGCTCCTGACTGCTGTCTTCAGCGATCAGATTAGCCATCACTGTACGTTCTTAGCTGAAATCGCTGCTCTTAGCAGTTCAAGTCTGAACGCTGTCGAGAACTGTTTTCTATTTTCTTCCAAAACTTACCATGGGAGAAATAGAGCCATTTCTCCTTCAGGGTACTTTCCTTTAGATATGATTAAGTAATCTATATCCATAAATGCACTCAACCAGGTGAAACAGAGAATTCCTAAGAAACCGTAATTCTCGTAAGTTTTAAGGCTGCTTCTCACTTCAAATTGTCCAGATAAAATACTTCACCTCAAATTCAACTTTACTCATCTCATGGCAATCCTCTCTGCCCTTAGCACTTCTCAGATTTTCAACACATTGGTCTGACAAAGAATTTTTTATATCTTTCTTTGTTTAGTGCTCAAGGCCTTCTGACAGATGGGGAATATAGCAGATAAGCTTCTTCTTAGTGGTAATTAAACATGAACCTCTTTAAATTTGGAAAAACGTCACAGCAGATGGATTTCAATTAATTACTCTGTCTAAACTTTTAGACCAGTGGATAGTTATACATGCAAACCAACTCTGCACAACCAAGCTCTTAGAGTGAAAAGATTTCGCCCCTGGCAAGCATCCTTCCTGCTGCCCACACCCCCTTCGTAGTAATGTGAAGGAAAAGCCCAGCTGGGCTAACAAGCTAACTCACAAATCTAAGTGTAACAAGTGTCGGATTACTGATCTGAGTTCTGCTGGGCTAACTTGTAAATCTGAGTTAATTATTGTTGGTTTGCTGATTCCCTGTTCATGTTTTTTTTGCTAGCCAGCTGGATTTTCAAAGAGACATATCTGGCCTTGAAATGTTGGTTTGCTGCCTCCCTGCCTCTACTTTTGTGATAATGATGTTGCTAAAGTTGTTCCATGCCTATTGGCCAAATACCCCAAGCTTGTAATTAACCCTATAAAACCTCATGCACACGTCTTGGAGGTGCTCAGAGTTTCAGAGCAGAAGCCCCTCTGAGCCCGTCGGCGTAATAAATCTGAGTACTCCAACCCTCCGAGTGGTGCTTGTTTCTTGGCTGGCCTGTCATTTCCGTAACAGTAACACGACCCCAACTGCACTCTGAGGAACTGTACTACTACTCACAGATCTAGGATTTGGGTAACACTGACCCAAGTAGGCTAGAAGCTCCATCTATGGAGTCCATTCTCCTGCCCACGCTGGTTTCATCAGGCACGGGCCTGTGGGCCAGCTTGCACCGACAGGGCACGGCAAGTATTTGCTGCTGTCCTCTGCAGCAGCAGCTTCCTCTTTCCTCTGAGAGCTGTGGGGAAAGACCGGCTCTTTTCTTTTGGACATTGGGATAGAAGACTGTAAAGCTTGGGACTGTTGCAGCTATGTCTCACAGAAAGAGAAAAGCCAGCCTTAGAAAAGACATGCTATTCAGAAGAAAACATCTCTAATGACTGAGAATTCAAATCAAACCATATGTGAAGTCAGAGAACTTTGAACTTTTCAAACTCTTTTCACGCTTAAGGCTGTGCTGACTGGGATTTTGATTCCACACAACATAAAAAGGCCTAATGATACTTCAAGAGAGAAGGAGAAGAGTTCATTCTTGAATTATACATCTTTACAGTGGTTCTTTTATTTGTTTCTCTCCCTTTTTTTATTTTAATCTACTAGAGCTAGTTGCACCAAAGACACAGGGAGTGAATTTCTTAGTGACTCGTAGAGTCAGAGGTAACAAAGACAGAAATGAAAAAAAACAAGGTATAATATAACTCAGTTTCTGTTTACAGGCTCTGATTGAATCAACATAATGATCAATGCAGATTTGAAAGCAACAGTGGTGCTGATAGGAGGCTACTGCTGGTAGTTGTTGGTCCGATCATTTTTAATTATATCAATTCTGTGATAATTACAAATGAAACTATGTTTGAATAGTCACATTGTAATTATAGATGTGGGCTTTCAAAATAAAAGTTATTGGATTTGTTTTTTTTTTTGGTGCTCTTTGTATTCTGATTTCGAATAATTAGGTTCTCTTAAAATTTTGAGTTCATGACCTTTCTGTTGAATGCCTTTGGCAATGTATTTGCTAAGTGGTCATCAGCCTAAGTTTAAGTCCCATGAGTTCCAATTTTGATTCATTCTGTTATTCTCCTGATTTCTACATCAAAACCTGAATTATTCCATTACTATTCCATTCCCTTGGTGCCCAATAGAAATTCTATTTATATATGAAAGCTTTTTAGAAATTTGAAGATAGCCTTCATAACTTACCCCCTCCTCAATCTCTAACATCTTCCTCAGGATAAATTCTCTCAACATCCTCAAGCCTTTCATTATTTTTTCAATGTGTTATAAATATAGCAAGGTGTTTTCCCCTTACGAATGTGACTACCATCTTGGAACAGAAATTGGGATGGAGAAGGTAACTGAAAGAGATTGTAACTTTCTCCACTTTTATGGGATACTTCTGAGCATATAGCCTTTTCAGCTGAGATTACAGATTACAGAACAGAATACAAACATATTAACCTTGACAAAACAGAAAGTAAAGTGACAGCAAAGAATTAGAAGATGGAAGAGGGAAGAGTTCAAGGGTTGAGGAGTTTATACACTTTTCTTAAAACTGGAAAATCAAGATATACTATCTGTAGTTGACAGAACAAGAAATAAAGATTTAGGTATGATATTTACAAACATACAAATACAACTAACAGAATAATTACCAATAGTATTATAAATATACTGGGAAGAAGAGCATGATATAAATGAATTAAATATTAACCTAGCATAGCTGAATTTCAATCGCTATTGTTAAATAACCCAATAAAAATGAGTGTATATGTTCAAATTTTAAAAAATAATAGTTTATTGTTTACAGTTATGGAGAAATAACAGAAAGGGGCTACAAGTGTATCTCCTTAATGCATCTGAGGAGCTGGACTGAGTGAGGAGGTTAACAGGGAGATTGTGGCATTTAATTATAAATTCTGTAATTTCTTCAACCATTTGCATGTATCACTTTAGTAAAAAAATAGTCATCCTGTTAATTTCAGAAAAATTGATTCTGTTCTGCTGCTAATGACTCTCTAAAATGCACACTATATCTTAATTTTAACATTTTTTTCTGAATGGAATTGTATACCTATTATAGGATTATGGTAAAAAATAGAATGCAAGAGGAAAAGGGAAGTGTTTTCATTCTAAGAAGTAGAATAAAATACATTACAATTTTTTTTTAGGTTTAGTATACTTGAAATAGAATTCAACCTTAATTTTAGTGAAGATCTTAAACAGTACTATGCTTCTTTCTTTATAATCATATACAGCATAGCGTGTGCATTAAACTTCAGGAAGCTTCAGATGTAGTCACCTTTCTTTCCTTAACACTTTATCCAATATCACAGTGGTTTCCTTAATTTTTTTTTTTTTACTTTTATGTGATTTACTCTAAGACAAAGTAGTTAGTGAGAGGTTTTGCAATTGTTTAATAGTGGAAGATAAACAAGATATGTCTGAGTGGAGTAATTTGTGCTTATACATATGTTAAAAATTTTTACTAGTGCAAAAATAATCAGTCTTATAATTTCGTCATAAAATCTGATTAGGGACATAAAACTGGAGATTATAGTATTATTAGAGTTCAGAGGCTCCACAATTTTTTTTAATCTAATTTTGGAATGTGTCTCTTTTGGATTCCAAAGCAGGATTTTTTTTTTTTTTGGAGGGACTGGTTCTTTATTTTAAAAAGACACTTATCAATTTTCAGTATCAAAACAGTTACACTATTGGTTTCTCTTTCTTCCAATTGGCTCCCAAAGAGACCACACCAAAGGAGAGTACACTTTAAGCCAATTAAGCTGCAGGATGCACACCTAGCAGACCTCACTGAAATCTCACCAAAAAGGGGGGATTGGGTAGGGAAAGAAACTTTAAAAGATGAGCACACTGCCAGCCCACAGACTGCAGAGAGCTCTCACAGCCAGAAAGGGTGACCGGTGTGCCCCAACCCCAAAGAAGCAAAGTTTCAAAATAATATAAAATTTAAAAACAGTTTTGTACACAAGCTATTGAAGATTTCTCCAGCACTGATACAAAGCACAATGAGATGGCACTTTTAGAGACAGCAGCTTCAGACCTAGAAAGGGTGATGAGATGTTTCATATGGCTAAATTAGTGGCAAAACTGATTTTCTTTTTTGTCTTTCAAGGAGGCAGAATAGCAAATAAGTGGTCACCTCAACATAAGGGGCAGATGATCCTGTGAGCAGCTGGGAACAGGGTAGAGATGGAACAAGGATTTGGTCTCAGACAGAGGTCTCACCATCTCGTTTGGTCACTTCTGATGAAAAAAATAAAAATAAAGTTGCGCAAAGATACCGTAAAGCTGAAAACCTGAACAGCCCTTTTTTTTTTTTTCTGGCTAGCTCCTCCTGGAATCACCTTTCTGGTTTGGCGGGTACTTTTTATAGAGCAATGAGGTTTCCTGTAATGGAATCTTTCTCTGGGCTGTTTGGCTCTCAGTAAGGCAAGCCCGTACCTTTCTTCCCTCCTCTATGGAGAGGGCAAGATGCATTAAGCTGAGATGTTACCTTTCAAAAGTGAGAAAGGGATTAGACCGCTTCTTCAGAACGGGGAGTTATCTGGAATGTTCTACAAACGGTTGCTATATCAACAACAAAAAAGGTAATTACAAAACGTGTACATCACAACATGCTTTTAAAGACACTTTGCATTGTGCTCACATTTCCTTAAATGTTGTTCCCAAAGGTGCTCAGCCTTTTTTTAATCTAATTTTGGAATGTGTCTCTTTTGGATGCCAAAGCAGGACTTTTTTTGACACTAGGGTAAGAAGTCTTTTATCTGAACTCTGTCTTGAATTTTCTAAGGCTTATCATAATCAAGACTTGTATTGGAAGTGTAATATATATTCAGATATGCATTATGTCCTCAATCAATAACTGCGGAGCAAGAATCCTAGAGATTTGCCCAGTTGCCATAGTCTACATAGACCTCTAGGAAATCCTACCTTCGACATATGTAAAATTACTCCCACTAGCAAGACATTTTTCAGCCGGAGGTGGTGGAGGAATTAACTCAAAGAAACTTAAATATGAAGGCATCAAAGTTTCTCTAAATTGTTATCCCTAAAGCTTTTATTTTAGGAATCATAATATGTCGGACAGTGAGCATAGAAATAGATGTTGTCCTTGCATACTGAAGTCAATTTTCTAGATATAATTATTTAACTTATGCATTAAGAATTCTTAACTTCTTATCTCCTTTACTTCTAATTAAAAGCTCTTGCTACTTTAGCCATGGTGGTGGGTGTGGTGAACAGGAGAGGATCCTACCAAATATATGAATGTGTGGTCTGGTGGCGGCGTGGCAGGGGGAATGGAGGAATGCCACTACACTACTTTTACTTTTTTAAATTTCATTTTCTATTGAAGTAGCAATGCTGTGTTAATTTCTGGTGTACAGCATAGTGGTTCAGTTCTACATATATATATTCCTTTTCATGATCTTTTTCATTATGGGCTATTACAAGGTATTGAATACAGTTCCCTGTGCTCTACAGCAGGACCTTGTTGTTTACCTATCTTATATATAGTAGTTAGTATCTGCAGGTCCCAAACTCTCAATTTATTCTACTACCCCTCCTTTCCCCCTCTGGTAACCAGAAGTTTATTTTTAATGTCTGTGAGTCTGTTTCTGTTTTATAAATAAGTTCATTTGCCACTACACTACTTTGAAATGCATTTTCCATGGAAACTCTGCTACACAATTTGGCTAATGTATATGATGATACTGTTCATCTCTTTAGCTATACTGTGAGCTAAAGAGGCTTTAGAAGCTTAGCCTGGCAAGTTCAACATCTTACATAATTTTGTTTTTCTAAGAAAATGAGATCCAGTTTTACAACGACTAAGTGAGCTTTAAAAAGATGTTTTAGAGTATTACCAGTTCTTACATTTGAAGTCACTTTATACGTGTGTTCATGTGTGTGTGTTGTCACATTGGGTGGTATGTGTGTAAATAGTATGTTTTGTGTTGGTTCCTGAAAGCTATTACCAAGTTCAGCTGCCTAACCGAAGGAATCATGCATGGTTGGCCTGTGAAGAGCTTGTTGTAGGTACGAACAATTTAATCTGAATGACTGTGCAGTGATGAAATTATAATGTTGATAGTTAATAAAGACAATAGAAAGTCCTGCATGAATGTACAGCAAAGACAGTGTGGGAGAATAATCATCCCTAGGTGCACTTTGGAATCCTGGCATGTCACAGAAGCTTTCTCTGATTTGTTCATGTTGCTTTCTTGACAGAAATTCAATTTAGGAAGGAAGTCCTAAGACCAATGCTTGTTACGTGCTTTGCGAAGCATGGCATTGAAAACTGTCTCACACTTATTAGCAGTCATGATGAGAAGACGCTAGTGATGATGACACCCGTATACCATCACCTGCTAACTTTATTTAGAGTGACGTGGGACACCTCAAATAACTGTCCCAAATGGGCTTGGATCATTTTGCCACTTAAATATAGAGACAATCAAAATCATAAACCATAAAATGTTGTTCTTTACACCACATTTTTTTAAGCATCCTTCATTATCTGCTCCTTTCACAGGCTTCCTTTGTCTTCATTTGTATTCTAATAATGGTAAGAGTCAATTTAAAAAATTTTTTTTGCCATAAGCATGTGTTTTTGAGAATTCTTTACTTTTCACTTACAGAATGACATCCAGTTGAGCAGATATGTCCAAAAAGATTGATTTGTCTGGCAGTGCTTTCCCTTCACCTAAGTTCTTGTTCATTTGGAGTGACTCATATTGATGGATACTGGTGCTGTCCGTGATTCGTCCTTGACATCTCAAAGACTCTGAGGGATTCATCTAACTTTATTATTGCTGTTTACAATTTGTCTCTTGACAATCACATTTTCACAACTAATCTACACTGAGGAAAGTGACCTTCTGGCATTTAACCTGCTGATACTGCTTACCAATAAGACTTAATTCAATCCAAAATACTTTTATGCAACATATACTATATGTCTGGCTGTAGGAGAAGTTGCTGTAGGTCTAGCAGGGAAGACAGACAGATAACTCCATGACAGAAGAAAAATGCAGACATACATAAAGTGTTAATGGAGCATCTATAGTGGAGAAAATGAAAACTTTGCCTTCTAGTGGAAGAGCTGGATCAGAGTAGTCAGGGAAACCTTAGTAAGGTAATGTTTGACTAGATTTGAAGGATATATGTATTTTAACTGCATATAGTAAGTACTGTATGTTCCCTGATTAAGGCTCTGTTTTCAGGGAATATTGCTTCTCTTGAATGTCCTTGAGAACACAGTTCTGCTTTTGGATTAGTATAAAAATGAATGGAGGCAGCATTTTTTTTTAATACAGATTCTTCCAGTGGACTCTTCACAGATTAGGGTGATGGCTAATAGTATCCTCTTTCTTCAACCATGGTCCAGGAAACCCAGAGTAACTTAAAACCATACAGTAAAGTAATAGATTATTAAACTGAGAGAATTTAGAAGTTTTATTGGACACCATGAGTGGTTTCAACCTAACTGGGCATCAGGGTCACCCAGGGAAATTAATAAAAATGCAGAATCTTCAGCCAAATATTGAATATTTTGCTGTAGTACGTCTGGGAAAGAAAAATAAGACATAGACTTTTCATATGTAATATAGGTGATTCTGGTTGTCTGTTTATGAAATGGGGCCTGGAAACCATTAACCTAGATTTTGTATACCAGCTAGTGAAATACGTATTTCTTAAACTTTCTAGTCTATGTTTTTGTTCTCAGGGGCTGTAATTAGCGCCCAGACAAAAATATCCCAGAACTTGCAGCCCAGTTGGGGTGAGGAAATACTTCATAATGAGATGCATGAGGAGCACTCATAACCAGTCAGCCATTTTTTGCCTTGAGCAGCCCTGGCGGAAGTTGATAGGGGAATAAATCTGTTTTATATTCCTCCTTGTTCACTTCCAATTCTGTTTTCATGTTCAACATCTGGATGGGTTAATAACTTATTAATATTCTGCCATAGGAAGCTCTTAATTTATCAAGGTTGGAAGCCTTGCTGTCAAGCTATCAGGACTGGCATCCCCAGCTGTCACTCAGCGGTCTTCTCTGTGATATGTCTCACATCACATTTCTATATAGATGTACATTTTTTAATGGCAATTTTCCTTTTGTTTCAAAGCCTCCTCCTACTCTTGTAATTTCTTTCAAAGTGATTCATACTAGAAGCCTGAGGCTTTCCCTAACTCCTAAATCTTAAGGCACCCCCTTCATCCGTTGCTCCCTCAGTCTTCCCTGAAGGAGTGAGTGACAACACTTTCTACCCAGTGCTTTGGAGAAAACTCCAGGAGTCTTTCTGGATGTTTCTTTTTCATTTGTACCACACCCTCAATTTCAACCATCTGAAACATTTGTTCATCCAACCCTGTAATGCAGCCTGAGTCAATTCACTTCTCTCTGACTCCCAGGCTGTCACCTACATCATTGTGATCGTTGCTTATCTTCACTCCAACATCCAGAGAGTGGCAAGCGGGGATTTCATAAAAAGTATGTATGGTAACGTCACTGCTCAGCAGCGACTTCCCAGTAGATTGTGATTGCATTAAATGAAACACAAAATCCTTACTTTCCCTACTAGGCCTGTGGCATTACGACTTCTGCCCACCTCTTTGCCCATACTGAAAATACCACATCCACACAAGCGACACGGAGGACATAATACTGTTGTTTGGACATGCAAGCTCATACCCTCTGGATCACTGTCCTTTGTTATCCTCTGAGGAGCTTCACTCCTGACTGACTTTTTGTAAACCAAGTCTAAGTTCAAACATCAACCACCTCAGAGAGCCATCTCTAATCAGCCTAACTAGAGCTGCCCCCATTCTATCTCTCTCTCAACACTTTACCCCATCTAAGTGTTATATGGAACTTAATTTTTTTAACTGTTGATTTAATCAAAACTTGTTTTCCCCCAAAGTATAAGATTTTGTCTGTCCTATTATTACCATATCCCTCACCCTGGAAAAGTGTCTCATACATCATTGTAGGTACACAGTAAGTATTACTTGAATAAATAAATTAATACATTTAAATTCATGATAACCTGAATTCTTGACTTTTTCCCATTCTATAATCTTCCAAATTTTGAGAGGACTTCAGTATGTTTTCTTTTTTTTAAACTCTCAATTATAATATTCTAACAATTCTTCTTTCCCCATTTTTTATTTCACTGCAATCCACCTTTCAGGGTCGCCAAAGTTAAATTTCTAAACCAGTAAGATGGACTTTTCTAGATCCTCAGGTCCATAAGATAGAGTCAGAAGTTCCAAGCAAGGCCTAAAGGCATTTTGTAGTTTAATCTCCATCTTTATCTCTACCTTCACTTTCTGCTACTCCCTCTTGTGAGCCTTACTACCCAATCACATAAAACTACATATAGTCTCAGACATACCCTGTTACTTTGTGATCCATGCCTTTTCCCATGAGAGCACACTATTCCTTTGGAGGTCACCTCATGTCCCCTCTTCATGGGCAGCTGGTGCCTTATGTAAGTCTCTCTCTTAGCTTTCATTACACAATACAGTAATTAACATGGAAATTAATTCTTTATGTGCAATTCTAGCCCTGGAGACTAACATAGTGATCAGCATATGTTCCAAAGGTGTAAACTGAATGAAGGTTGGATGGATGGATGGATGGAAGGAAGATATCTTCCAAATAATCCATAATCA